ATTGAATAATACAGTCAGACTCACAAGAACAAGCATAAAATCCGAGATATTATACGACACCTAAAAGATAATTTTTAATGGGTCACTATCGCATTAGGAGAAAAGCTTGCTCACCTGATGGATTCCAAAGCACTCCTCACCGATCAAATCTGGCCGGAAAAGTAATTCTGGTGCACGAAACCGGGCAGGACCAATCTCCAGAGTGGAGCCATCGGGCAGCGGATAAGAGGCCAGTGCCTCCATTGTTTCAACTTTGCCAGGATTAAGACTGACAAAGCAGGCACGTTCCTGGAAAAAAGAAGAGATTACTTAAGTATATAAAAATTAAAACAATAATTTTGGCTAGAGTATTAGTGCTGCTACTAGAGTTCTAGTTCATATCCAATAAATAACAAGCTTTGATAAAGCCACGGGTCATATGCTCAGTTGCATTATTTATACTGATATATTGGCAGGAAAAGCAAGTGTGCAGAGTAAAAGGTGGCAAATTAAAGAGGAATCAAGGATTTATGATAGTGAGCGCAATCTATATTAATGATGGGAATTTCAATTCGTATGAAAGTGCATGAAGAAGAGATTCGTAGATCGATCTTATGAGAAGATGGCTGAATCCCATTTTACGACAGCCTCTTGGCTTTTATACGACGTTTAGATTGACGCAGTCCACGAGACCTCCTTCGTCTCGTGTACAAGCAGGCTGAGCTTTCGTCCACCGTTTTCACCCCAAACAAGGAAGGTCTTGTGGACTACGTCAACCTGAACGTCGTAAAAAAGCCAAGCGGCAGCAGTATAACGGGATTCAGCAGTCTTATTATGGTGAGATCGACCTACGAATCTCTCCATGCATTTTCATACGAAATGAAAGTCCTCCAACAATGTTATCTCAGGAGATTAATCGAAACCTAGTTACTCTTCGTATCTATAATCTATATTAGAAGATATAAGCATGAAGGCAAATGAAGCAAATTCTCACAAAAACATGCAATTAAACAAGCTTATAAGAAATAAGAAAATAAGTCAAAAGTTGATACAAAGTGAATTTCAAGGAAGGCCAGGCATCTTGCCATATCATATTCTTTGGTAGAGTGCCGATAAAGCAAAC